TCACTTTTTCTGTATTTATATGTTTTCTTTCTCTCCTGGATCAGCTGAAGATAAACAGATGCTGATTTCTCACAGCTTTGTAAACTGATTGACATATCAGCAGACCTAATCTTGACCCTTCTCGCAGTCCAGATAAAACAGAAAGTTAAAACCCCATTTGTCAAACTGGGGGGCAGCAATCTAAGCTCACATGGACAATAAAACAAATTGCTTCTGTTTTTTATTTTAATCATTCCACATTTTCCTAACAATTATTACTATTTACACTTTTTCCCCTACTTATACCATTAAGACTTATTGATGAATATCAGCTTGGATGTATAATGGGCACAGTGCTATCAGTTTCCTCCAGTCTCGATTAAGCAAAAAGAAAACGTTCCAAGGCTTGAGGAGGATAGAAACATCAACAAGGTATCGATACTACTTTATCAACTTGTCATCACTAAGTGTGATAGCCTTAGAAGAGATGTTTGATTTGTTTATCTAGTGTTGTTCTAACACGGATCCTACAAGAATAAATATTGATCAAGAAAACAGAAAATGTTGCCGTTCATAAGTCTGGAAAGACTCAGGCTGTTTCCAAACAATTCGGATGCCAGCATTATACAACAAAAAGCTTATATAATGGAAAACATCGCAACATTTGCCAATTTTCCCATGATGAGACAAGCTAAAAATGTCTTTCCAATGTAAAATGATGCAATATGTTATGAAAACACACGCTTAGGCCTCAGGTAAATTATTAATAAAATCAGGAAAGTTAAAATAAAAACACTGAACAAATAGGGCTTACCAGAACAAAAATCTCCTTTCACTAAACAAATGATTCCAATACATAGATTATTTTTCCATTCTTGTTCATGTTTGTTAAAAATTTCATGCAGTGATTTTACACAATGTGCAATGTTCATGCTTATTAATCCAGGTATAAATCCAACAATGTTCAGTCAGGTCATCTGGACGGTGTCTTTCGTTGCTGAGACGTTTGGTCCTTCATACGAAAGACTTCTTCAATTTGAGGAACCACAAAACCAAACTGAATCTCACAATCAAGTTACTCCCAGAGTGGAAAAATCCAGTTTGCTGGTGATACGATGGCCTCTGCCAGGGCCCACCCTCTCCCCCATCAACTCCTCTAAGGCAGACTTGACAAAGTGGTTCAAAACACCAAAGTTCATGCGCATTAATCCTGATATAAATCCAACAATGTTCAGTCAGGTCATCTGGACATTTGCATTTTTTTTTTAGAGACATTTCGTCCAACATCCGAAGGACTTCTTTGGTCTGAGGAGACACAAACAAACTGTTTCCCCCGATAGAAGACCAACCAGTTTGCTGGTGATAAGATGGTTGCTGGGGGCCGTCCTCTCCCCCGTCGACTCCTCCCAGGCAGCCAACAGCCAATGTGGTTCAAGACATCAAGGTTCATGATCAGTAATCCAAGTGAAAAAACACCAGCAAACTGGTTGGTCTACTATCGAAGTGTACTGCTTGTGGGGAAACAGTTTGCGTCTCCTCAGACAGAAGAATTACTTCGGATGAAGGACAAAACGTCTCTCAACAAAATAAACTGTCCAGGTGACCTGACTGAACACTGTTGGACTTTTTTTTTTTACCTGGATCACTGAGCATGAACTTTGATACTATTCAAGTAAAATAGCAAATACATTTAAGAGTCTGTGTGGATAAAAACATGTCAATTCTGGGGTGTTTTAGCAAGATTAAACACAACATTACCTATCAAATCACACATTTTTTACTACTTAGTGTCATTTACAATTTTTGGACTCATCTAAAGTTTAATAGTTAAATGACATATTTTTCAAAATCTGTCTAACAAATGTATTCATGTGCACAACTGCTTTCTGAGTAGTTATATCTGTCATGATGTTTTCTTCCACTTATTTTCCAATGGGCCTTTTGGCACTGTGTGGTTAGTGGTTAGCCAAAAACACATTACAAAGAGTTTTTCCAATCCTGCATTGAATAAAACCAGTAATTTGAGCTACATTTGTTGACTCACTGCATTTTTTCCCCTTTAAATCAAAAGCTAACAGTTTAAACATGCCTTTATAAACTGCATTGAGAGAACATATAAAAGAGAGTGTAATCTAATATTCAGCTGATATATTTATTTTGCTGATGGAACTTTTATGAGGAATACATGACGGGATAATGTGGGGTTCATTTTATTACCAGTGGATACTTTGATACTACCAGTGATTAATTGATCATTGTGATCAACTGATCAGCTTATCATTTTTTAAATGTTTATCATCTGAGCTGCAAGGTGTAACTACAAAGTTCCTGGAGAAACTTTGACGGGGACTGCCAGACTGCTGCAGATTAAAATAGTTGATTTGACAGTGCTATGTGTTGCGGTTTGCTCTCTGCTACCAGTATATCGATTTTCAGCTGAATAGCGCTAAAAATGGCTGAGTTATAATATTTCTGTCCGTTTTAGCTAAGGCGGCCATCTTGGATTTTTTTCATTTGAGTTGAGTTGATAGCGATTGTTCTTTGAGTCATCATATGTTTTTGCTTGTAGATAAGGTGGCCATCTTGGATATTTCATTTGCATTATAAATGTATAACAACTCGCTCTCAGCTGCAACTAAACTAAATTCCAGTTTAATATCTCAAAGAATGACTGAATTATAGTCATTTTTTGTGTTTTCTAAGGTAGCTGTGGCAGCCATCTTGAATCAAAATGGCTCCAAATGTTAATCAGTTCTAGACATTAATCTGACAATTACTTTCTGAGTTTCAAACAAATCCAACAGTGAGTTTCTGTTTTGTTCAGGGACCTCTACACTCTTAAGTCATGTGAATTGACAGCTGCAATTAGTTTGAGGAATGTTCCGTCATTCATTTCTTATGGTGAAATATGGCATCCTTGTTAGCTAAATATGTCGCCATGGTAACTCCAATTGCCAATAAAAGTAATTGCCCTCATCCTGAGACTGAGCTGATCGTTTTGATATAATTTTTGTGGGGGTGCACATTGCAGTTTGGGCCGCATTTACGGTGAGTGAACAAAAATAAATAAGAAAATAAATGCTTATTAGCCGTAGAATAATAGGTGCCTTCCACGCATTGCATTGCAATGGTAGACCCCAATAATGCTGAAGAGGAGGTATAAAATACTTAAGCGCTCTATTTTTATTTATTTTTATTTTTGTCTAATTCCAGAACTAAAAGCTCAACATAGCAGTTTTTTTTTTTTATATATATATATTTTTTTGTCAATATATGTGATTTGACTGTCACTCACTTTGGGGGCATTGAACATTATTTTTCAGAACAAACAAGTAATACAGTGTAAGACTTTTTTGGAGAAACCCTAACTTAGTTATACAGAAACGAGTTGCTGCTATTTTTGTAGAAGACTGCATTATTGTTGTAGTCAGGCAGGATTTTTACACAAAAGAACACAAATGTTGATGACACTGAACCAGTTTCCAAATAAAACATGGTTTCCATCTTCAACAGTTGTACCATACATGATGATCACTGCATCCACAAAGATAATGACCGACTGATATTGACAGCAACAAAAGTGAAACACAATAAATACATATGTATCTGCAATTCTGTTTCACTTTCACCTATTTATTCGCTATCAGTTTCAGGCTTTATCAGTTTTTTTTATACATACACTGTTAAGTTCCCCCTTATTTGAATTCTCAAAATGATACGCTGGTGAAGATTTTCAGTCATCCAGGACATGGCAAATTCAAAAAAGTTCAAGACAAAAAAACCCCAGAAAAAACAACAAACCTATCAGGAATTTCACCCATGTCACCAGAGTGGCTCCATTAGTAAGTCAAACTAACAAAGACCTTAATAAACTCCTATTGTGAGGAGTGATAGAGCAATCTGCATATGTATCTAGCTTAGCTCAGGTTTATAACCTGAACACCACACTCTCTATTAGCTGAATTGAGAAATCTCCTCGGATGAGAATTGAAATGTCTTCAGTTACAAATAAAGCCCAAAATTATATTTTGACATTTTAACAATTATGTTTTGACATAAAAACATCTCAAGTCTGGAGTTTTGGGAAGACCTTCCAGCCCACTGGACCCCCCAGATCCATTAGCCAAAACTGATGTCTTGCTTTCAGTCAAGTGTGCATGTGTATCTCAGTGGTAGGACAAAGAGAGGTTTTCCAAAAAAAGTTCAATCTGGTCCTCTGGACATTCAAAAAACAAGAAAGCAAACAAACAAAAAAAAAAAAACAAAGCAAAAAAAAAATGTAGAAATGTTTCTTCTTTCATCTGAGAGACTTCCTCAGTCTGAGGTTCTGTATTTAGCTCAGTCTCTTAAATAGCACCTTCTCAGAGTGGATCAACCAGTTTGCTGCTGACAACCAAAACCAGCTGCTCACATGGTCAAGAAGGACCATCAGCTTAACAATGGATCTTTAGCACACTGATGGCTGTTTACTATTCACAGAGGGCTGAGTGATATTAGCAATAACAGCATTGTAAGAGGGGGACAGTTGAACCCGGAGGCCTCCACCCCTGTTTAATAATGGGCGATTTCTTTTCACAAAGATGGCCTCCTTTACTCCTCTCTAAACCCATCGTTCCTCTCTGTCCAGGATGTGAACATCTTCATCCTTGAAAGAGTGACCGCTGGCCTGGAGATGAGTGTAGACCGCAGAGTCCTGGCCTGATGATGTTGATCTTCTGTACTGGGCCATCCTTTTGGCCAGTGGCTGTTTTGTTTCCCCGATGTAAGACTGATCACAGCCCTCCTGACACTGAACAGCATACACAATATTACTCTGTTTGTGCAGGGGGACTGGATCTTTGGGATGAATCAGTCTTTGCCGTAATGTATTTTGGGGTTTAAAAGCCACAGGGACTTTATGTTTAGAAAATAAACATCTCAG